ACGGCCAAAGAGCCCGAAAAACCCAAAACCCAACCTTACATGAAAGTCTTCAAATTGTCAGTTAAAAGCAGAGATACTGCTAGTGAGAATGTAAAAAGACAACTTCTGTAATCAAAAGAAGAGTCTAGATAAATAAACAAGAAAACACTTAACATTCTTGAGGACAGGAGAGAAGCAAAAGGAAAAAGGTAAATAGAGCCAAAATCCTGAATGCAATGTTTCAGTGAATATTTCAATAGACACAAAGAGAATTGTTGCAATGACTAGCACAAATAGAAGGGGGAAAAAAGAAAGAGGGAAAACAAGACCTCTCTTCCATAAAATCCAAGAAATGAAAGACAGGGAAGCATGACATTCTTGAGGACAGGAGAGAAGCAAAAGGAAAAAGGTAAATAGAGCCAAAATCCTGAATGCAATGTTTCAGTGAATATTTCAATAGACACAAAGAGAATTGTTGCAATGACTAGCACAAATAGAAGGGGGAAAAAAGAAAGAGGGAAAACAAGACCTCTCTTCCATAAAATCCAAGAAATGAAAGACAGGGAAGCATGGCATGCGGCCGGAATAAAATAAAAAGAAACTATACACTGAAGAACTGTATACAGAAAAGATGTGAGGATAATAGATTGTTGTGATGGTGAATCCTGCCATGAATAACCAGGAAATTTAGAAAGTGAAGTGAAACCTGCTCTCAAACCACTTGGAAGAAATAAATCCCTAAGAGTTGTTGGGATACCAAGAGAGCTATTTTAGGCTACTGTGGCTTAATCTGTCAAACTCCATACAAGAATATGTCAACAAATATGGTAAACAAAACAAAGGTTGAAAGACTGGCAACATTTAATACCCAAGATAAGCTGCATCCTGTACGATCCTGCTGGAGTTCACTGGTTTGTATCTTCTTCTTCTATTGGAAGCGTCCGGGCAACAGATGAGAAAGAAAGCCAATGAGGAACATCCCCTTGGAAGTTTCATGTTTCCAAAAATTGGAATTTTATATTTTAAAATGGTACCAGCAAAGCTCAAGCCAGGCGCAAGGCAGCTTCGAAGGCATAGGATCTGGTTGCCCACTTCCAACCAGGTCAACAGTGCGGTGAAAAATACAAATATGAAATGCAAAGGGATCCCTTACCTGGAGAGGCCTCGTTCCCTTCAGCCTCCAGCATGACGTCTTTCTGCGGAGCTGTCTGGCCTCAGTCCAGCACACCCTTGCTCCCCTGGTTGAAATGCACAGCCACCTCCTCAAAGAACGCACCAGGCACCGGGAGAAGGAAAGAGAAAGAACAGCCAATCACCAACCACCATTTCACAGAAGCAACGTTACACTGCCTCCCCAACCTGTGCTAAAGGCTACCATTCACAGATGTCCCAATCTCAACATCTCTTTCCATCACACTCCTGGTATTAAGAGCTGAATAAAGGCAGCCTTAATGCCACTAAAGGTCTGTATGTAAATGTGAAATGTAAAATAAAGGCAGCCAAGGAGACGTGATTTGTGTCTTATTTTTTCACAAGGGCATTGATGCTTTCTGGGGAGTTTGTGAAGTGAGTTACTGATGATCCTCGGCCAGCCACTCCCAGAAGGGAGTCTACCTTACTGGGTTGTTGTGTAGACTGAAAGGTTTGACCACGGGTGTGCCTCTGAACTCCTGCATATACAGTGGTTCCTCGCACAGCGACGATAATCAGTGCAGCAAAAATCGCTGCAAAGCGATTTTGTTGCTATGCGATTTTAAAAAGCCCATAGGAATGCATTGAAACCCCTTCAATGCATTCCTATGGGCTTAAAACTAACCTTAAAGCGAAAATCCTCCATACGGCCACCATTTTTGCTGCCCGGTAAGCGAGGAATCGGCGCGAAAACACATCGGGTGGCCATTTTGTTTACCCAGCGACCATTTTGGAACCGCCGATCAGCTGTTAAAAAATCATTGCTTTGCGATGATCGGTAAGCGAAACAGGGTGCCTATCATCGCAAAGCGATTTCCCCCCAAAGGGAACATCGCAATGCGATCGCAAAATCATCGCTATGCGCTTTCGTTGTTAAACGGGGCGCCCGTTAAGCGAGGCACCACTGTACTAGGTCAAGGGATTTTTTCTCTGTCTCTATGTTGCCAGCTATTTTTTAAGAAGTTGGAATGTGTCCAGAGGAGAGCCACTAGGACGGCAAAGGAGTAGATTCACCAAAAGAAAGACTGAGAGGTGATCCGATGCCCATCTGAAAATATCTGAAAGACTTCCAGGTAGAAAAGGGAGCAAGCTTGTTTTTTCTGCAAGTCCGGAGGGGCAGGATCTGATCTTGGACGGTGGTGGACTTTCCTTCAATGCAAGTCCTTCTAGAGAGGCTGAAGGAGGGCCACCTGCCAGGAATGCTTTCAGGCAACAATGCCATGCTCTCTAATTTGGAGCTGGACTTGATGACCCTCAGAGTCCCTTCCCAGCTTCCTGCAATTCTAGGGTCCTATTGATTCGGACTCTTGAGTTCTGTTATTTTGGCTTCCACAGTTTCTTCCTTTCACAAAGCCTAGCCTGACGAGGAGCTTTACAGAACTCAAACGCCTACACATTTTGCTGTAATTGCAGTTGGCCTAAACACAGCCTTTTGTTTTCTTTTGTCATCATTGTCATTGCTGTCATCATCAACATCATCATAGAATGGCAGAGCTGGAAGGGACACTGTGGATGATTGAGTCCAGCCCCTGACAAGGAGGCACAAGTGGGGAATCGAACTCCCAGCCTCTGAATCCGCAACCAGATACCTCAATCGCTGCCTTTGCCTTCCCACATATCTACTTAACTCTCCCATTCTCCACTCTGGACAAGAAACTGGAGTCGGGTCACACTCTGAGCCTCCCACTCCAAAGACTTATAGAAAATGGAAGAGCCAAACAAATTTTTTTGCCAGGGTTGAGGGTGGAGGAAACCACCAAGGCCCGGAAAAACGGGGCAGCCAGTGGCCACCAGTGGATCACTCAGTTAGTCTCAACTTGTCTGCGATCCCAGATAGGGCCATGAAATAGCTAGTCATGGCTGGTGATCCAGCAGGGAGACCATGAGATCCTCTTTTTCTAAAAGGACACACACACACACACACATATGCCTGAGATGACTAGCCAGGGAATTCTCATCCAGCTTCCCCAAATTACCCCACAGATTCTTCAGCGAAGGTCACAGGGTGGAGATGCAAGCGACGGCCTGTCCTCTCTGCCCGCCAGGGATTTGGCCCGGAGACGGATCCGTTTGCTCCTGTCCCTGCAACAACACAAAAGACACCCAGCCTAGAGCAATGGAGTCGACAAACCATTTGTTGTTCTGTGTTAGAAAATCAACCACTCATTTCCAGCCACCTTATCAATGAATGTCTGACTCCAATCATCAATGATTAGGAGCCCCTTAACCAGGGATGGGCGGGCAGGGGGAATAATATGTTCTCAAAACCAACAGCATGTGGATTTGGGAAGAAAAGACTGGAAGAAAAGAGAGAGCCCTCTGCACGCGTTCAGAGTCCGGATGTTCAGGTGTTGGGATCTGACATGTCTCTGCTCTGGCACCCCTGCTTTCCTATGAGGAACAGGAAGAGGAGCAGACAAAATGGCTATACAGTGGTGCTCCGCATAGCGATGATAATCCGTTCCGGATAAATCGTCGCTATCCGGAAACATCACTGTATGGAACGGAAAACCCCATAGAAACGCATTAAACCCTGTTTAATGCATTCCTATGGGGGGAGGGAACTCACCGTTATGCAAAGATCCTCTATCTGGCCACCATTTTCGCCACCTCGGTAAGCAAGGAAATCGCGTGAAAGCGCTGCGGGCAGCCATTTTATTCACCCGGCAGCCATTTTGGAACTGCTGATCAGCTGTTCTGAAAACATCGCAATGCAAAGATCGGTAAGCGAAACGCTTAACAATCATCGCAATGCAATGTTTTCCCATTTCGCTATGCAGATTTTGCTATGTGGATTTGTCATTAACTGAAGCACTCGTTAAGCGAGGCGCCACTGTACCCCCTTCCTGCCTCTGCCCGTAAATCAGCCCACACCAGCCTTAGAGTAAGCGCCACTCTCTTTAAGAGAAAGGCATGGCCACTCCTGCTTTCCCAGAGAGGATGATTTCTCCTTAAAAACTACAGCCAAGGATTCATGAAACTCCCACCCAACTACCCCCAACTGTCAGCCCCCACCCCATCACTCTATGCCTCACCCTGTCACAGGGGTGTAAAATGGAGATAAACAGGGCTAGTCGGCAAAAGAGGGCTCAAGAGGGCTCGATTGTTTTCCTTTGATCTTTGCAGGGTGGGGGTGCGGTTGGATGCCCTCGGAGGGTCTCACAGGTGAGGGAGGGGGGTGGTGGACCAGGACAGCCACTTAAGCACCACCAGAGGGGTCTCAAGAAATTGGCATAAGCTGAATCAGAGACGCAAAGGTAACATCAGGAAACAGCTGCACCCAGATGAGAAAGGCTCATAGAGGAAGCCCTCCCCAAAAGCTTTGTAGAAAAAGACCGAAGGCTGGATCAGGGCCTTCCCCCCTCCACAGCAAAGGCCAGGCGTCTCCATTTTGAGAACTGGGGTTGGCTTTTACAAAAGAGTCCTCCGAGGATCTGCCCGTAGGGCTTCTTCCACGGAATAACTGACCTGTCAAAGCAGGTGCCAAGCAAAACCCAACCCAAGCATGTGCAGAGTGCCTTTCTTCCTGCAGGGGGAAACAACCAACGCCTGCCTTTTGCCAGGAGGAGGGAATTCAAGGCTCTGTCCAGGGCTGGTCAGAGATGGTCTGGGAGACCCAACCCCAAAACAGGTGGGTGGAGGGAGCACAGCCCCCTCCCTCCCCATTTATCTCCTCCTCGTCCTGGTTACGGGAAAACTACTGGCCGACTGCCATAGCCGAGTCATTGGGAAAGCCTGGAAAAACTGGGGGGGCGGGGGGGGCCGAGGGATAACAGTTTTTCCTCCTGATTTTTCTTTTCTTCCTAAAAGGGCTTCAAAATTTGACATCTCCAATTGCAGGCAAACAAAAGAATGTGCAGAAATAAGGTCTCTCTTTATCTCTCTCTCTCACACACAAATTCCCTGATCAGGCTGCATGCATGCATGCATGCACAAATACACCCCCCAGTTCAGGCTGCATGCATGCACACATACCCCCCCCAGTTCAGGCTGCATGCATGCACACATACCCCCCCCAGTTCAGGCTGCATGCATGCACACATACCCCCCCCAGTTCAGGCTGCATGCATGCACACATACCCCCCCCAGTTCAGGCTGCATGCATGCACACATACCCCCCCCAGTTCAGGCTGCATGCATGCACACATACCCCCCCCAGTTCAGGCTGCATGCATGCACACATACCCCCCCCAGTTCAGGCTGCATGCATGCACACATACCCCCCCCAGTTCAGGCTGCATGCATGCACACATACCCCCCCCAGTTCAGGCTGCATGCATGCACACATACCCCCCCCAGTTCAGGCTGCATGCATGCACACATACCCCCCCCAGTTCAGGCTGCATGCATGCACACATACCCCCCCCAGTTCAGGCTGCATGCATGCACACATACACCCCCCAGTTCAGGCTGCATGCATGCATGCACGCACGCACGCACACACACACACAAATACCCCAGTTTCCTGATCAGGCCGATTCCGCGCCACCCAAAAAACATCTCTTTGAGTCCCCATCCCCCTCGACCCCCCTCCTTCTCCTGGGGGAGGCTCCCTGGGTACCTCCAGCCTGCCTTGCAGAGGAGAAGGGGCTTGTCATAGGGGAAAGGGTGGGGGGGGCAGGAAGCCTTTT